AAGGCCGGTACAACCATGTGGCAAGCGGCAGACGTGCCACACACGCCAGGGAGGGACGAGGGGTGCCGCTGCACAGGGTGGGGGCGGTGGGAGTCAGAGTGTCCAGCAGCAGCATCCCAGCTGGTATCCAGCCGTGTCCCAGCACTGCTGGGCAGCTCCTGCCACATTGATCTTCCTCTGTCTCTGCAGCAAGGACAGCCAGTACCCACCACCAGCTCGGAGAGGGGCAGGCAAATGTCTGCCCTGGGGAGGGGGCAGCTCTGGCAGGGGGGTGCTGGCAGCCTTCTCCTTCCTGTTTATCACTCAGGGAGCATCAGTGCAGCCGCACGTGGTGTGCGGGGCAGATGTGCGCGGGAGATGAAGGCACGCCAGTGTCCTGGAGTTAAATTGTTCAGCAGATGATCAGCTGCTTCCTTCCAAGTCTTAGTCCAAGCACGAGGCTGCATATCTTCGCCAGAAACGTCTCCACCGGCACTCAGGGCCCTTTGGATTGTGTTTTATATTTACTGTTTGGCTTAGGCATCTGGAAGCTTCTAGCTTGCAAACAACAGCTTTAGGTCACCAAACTTTCAACCACTTTCCTCAAAGTTTTAAGCCAGGTGTGACTGTCACGGGAAGTTTCTCAACACCTCCCTTCCAAGTGGGCTGGGGTCTGCCTGGCCCCATGTCCCAGGGCTTCAGGCAGAGCAGCAACTCGTGCAAAGATATTTGTCTTGCAGCACTTGGTGTTGGCTGATCTGGGGCATGGGTTGGCTGCAAGGTGCAAAGCTCTGTGCTTGGCTGTTGTGCAGCCCTGTAAGGGGTAATGCTCCGCTTTGCAGGGGAGAAAGCTTTCTTCTGAATTGCCAGGAACTTGCAGCAAGCCCTTGGGCTGCAGGGATGGGAGGGGGCATGCCTCCTGGCTCTCCTTTTGTCTCCCTGGCTTGCTCACCCCTGGCCATGGGTCTAGATGGGGAAGGTCCCCCAGAGCCAGCCCAGGTCTGGCAGACACGCTGCCCTGTTGGGATGCAGCTCTGCTGCATTGGTGGAAGGCTGTCCCTTTCCATATCAGTTAAGTGAAAGTGGAACTGATCAGTGTCCAGCCCTTGGGCATTTCCTTCTGTTGGAGCTGTTGGGGTGCAAAAACACCCAGACTCTCGTTTTCCAGGCTATCCTGGGCTGTCAGTTCTCTGCAAACAGCCCTAACCCAGCTCGGGGTGCTGAGTGTTAGAAAAGGAGAGGGGAGAGCATCAGCAGTGAGAGTTGAGGACGTCCCTCCCCATCTGCTGGCTCATTCCCTTGGAAATCCCTCTGCAAGGGACAGCAGGCTGGAGGAAGAGGGGGGTGGAGGAAGAAGACTGCTAGCCTGCAGTCTCTGCCCATGTATGGGGACAGCAGCTCCTCTCCTTGCAGACTCTCCAGGGCAGGAGCTGCTCTAGAAAAGCAGCCATGGTTGCAGAGTGTGGCTGGGAAAAGCTACTACGTGGTTTTGGGGCCAGGGCCAGGGCCAGGTCTGTGTATCTGCAGAAACCTTGCAAGATGGATCTGTCCAGGCATTTGCTTTTCTCACACAAAATGGACTGAAACATGTCACCCAGAGGCAAGCACTCCCATCCTTCAGAAGGTCTTCCTCTTAGGGCTATCTTCTTGGCTTCAAGATGGCCATGCTAGCCTGTCTTTCTCTCCCCACACCTCTGATTAGCTTCCTACCCAACTCCTGAATCTGCCTCGAAAACCTCCCTGTTTGGATGACAGCATTTCCATCCAGCATGTGCTATCAGTGCTGCGTCCTGCTCCTCATTGCACGCAGGGCCCTTTGCACCCTACACCTGTCCCTCTAAGTTTCTTGTGCCCTCTGTGTGCATTTTCAGGGAGAGCCCGGACCACCTGGTGACCAAGGGCGGGAAGGACCCCTAGGACCACCTGGCGACCAGGTAAGAACTTGGATTAACTTTCTGGATCCCAGGTGGAAGTGGTTGGGGCAGCGGGGAGAGTGGGGTAGAGGACTTAACTGATGCCACAACATCTTGGGGCAAGTTCTCAGCATCTCCTAGACTGGGTATCAAAGCTGGTGAAAAGGGGCAGGGATTTCTAGGAGAACCCAGAATATGAATAGGGCTAAAAAAATGGAGACTTGGCTGCTAAGCCCGGGACAGAGCAATCTCCACGCCATTTCCCAATCCCATGGAAACGAATGTCAACACGTCTGACAGATTTGGAAACTGGCAAACGCAAGCTGCAGCAACGCACAAAATGTTCAGGCCTGGGGCCAGACACTGCTCACCTCAGTCAAGGGAGTCAATGAGACATCTTGTGTCAGTGAGGACAGCCTGACGGGGCCCCAGTGGTGTCCCTGACACCCTTGGCATCTGCAGAGACAGTCTGTCCAAAAGCCAGCATTCCTCAAGTCTGCTTGCTGCAAGGTCTTGTCCTCCTGCTCTGGGGTCTGCTTGTCCTCGTGTGCCTCAAGGAACAGATCTCAGACCTCATGGGCTTTCTGGAGAGCAGAGCTGGCTACCTCCAGCCTGAGGAAGGCTTCTGTCCCCTGGACAATTAAAGACTCTCTCTTCCCGAAGATGTACCCAGCTCCAACTCAACAACTCTGGGTCTGGCGGTGTTGCAGGGTTAATCCTCCATGGGGATAGCACTGATTGCAATGGCCAACAGGGTCTTTGCACCTAAGCAAGCAGGCTTTGACACCACTTTTGGATGGGGCTCTGTGGAACAGCTCCCCTCCTACCCATACCATCAGAGTTTTGACAGAGCCCAAGATGCAGGGAAGTAGTGAGTGAAATGTTGCCACACTGGTTTCCACAAGGAGTGAAGCATGGAAAACAGCGTGCAGACAAAGATGAGACAGCTTTTGAACTCCATTATGGTCGACCAAGTGTTGAAGAGCCCTGAAGGAGATCTGGAATGCAGGACAGCCATGAAGAGGCCACTGTTGCGATCACGTTATCCTCAGCATGGGTGACCTCCATGGCAGACCTGCACCATGCCGCAGCCTGGGGAGAAGACGTGCTTGTGCCAAGGTTGTACTTCACTGGAGCCGGGCTTCCCTCAAGCCTGTCTTGTGCTAGTGATGAGCACCAAATTCACACAGGAGGATTGTCCAGATCCTACAGTCTATAGCTGTGCAGAGCTCCTGCCACAACCAAAGCGAGTCTGGCAGCATCCATCTTGTTGGGCACTGCCGTGGTGAGAGGTGTCGTTTTGGGAGGTGGCCCTGGTAGGAAGGCAGCTCTTTGGATATGTGTGTGTTTAATAGACTGGTGCTGCAGGCTGACACCAGCAAAGGAGGAAGGACTGGAGCTGCTCTCCATGTGGTAGAAGCTCATTCCAGGTTCAAGGCAGAAGATGACAGAATTAAGGTGGAGATTTGATGCAAGCCTGGGAGGCCAAGCATGGTGTGAAGCCAGGCTGGGACAGATCCTGCCTCCAGCCAGCCTTCACTGTTGAGGAGGAGTAAGACAAAGGAGAAAGAATGGTCTCCTTGCTGTCACTGAGCCTAGGGGACACTGGTTTTCCCTCTCCAGCACTGGATTTGAGTCAAACCCCTGTCAGAGTGGGAAGCATTACAGAAGAAGCTCCGATGCCTCCCCAGACCAGAGACTGCCCCAGTGCCTCCACCACTCCAGGGAGATTTCAAAAGCAGTTGCAAAGGGAGGACGTTTTTTTCCATAAGCTGAGGAAGAATGCTTTTGGTTGGCCAAATTAAAAATAAATGCGTAATTGGGCTTGGACAAGAGCAGGACTTTGGCAAACACAAGTGTTTTTCAAGCCTTGTTATCTGCAAGCTCTGGCTCTTGGAGCTTATTTCTCTTGGCAAGGGGAAAGGGCTCCTGCTGACCTGTGACTCCCTTTCATCCTCTTTCTATCCGAGA